ATGCTATTTTTGGTTGGACTTCTGGAGTAGGTTTAAGGGTGGGAAGTGTTACGAAGAAATTACTCCTTTTTTGGTCCTTAGATAGAATTTTTTTAATAAAGCAAATATGCGTTGGCTATAGAAAATAATTTGTACAAAACATTAATAAAAAGCAGGTGTCGGTTCAAAGAATTAAATTAAATCGGATTTTGGTTAAATTTTTTTATGGTTTTCGGTTTTACTCCTATAGTAAATAATTACTATTATAACTAATAAGCCATTAAAGACGTATAAAACTATAAAACAATTTATTTAATTTTAAGTTATTCACGCAAATCAAGTACATGCTACAATATGATTTTTGAGAAAATGAGTGGACTCGATCTGAAAGACATATATTTATGAATACTAATCGTAGACGTTGAATATAAATTAAAACTAGCCAAGTTTTTTAATATATGTTTGTATCCTTTCCCCCATTTAAGGAGAGAGATGATATCCATGACTTAGGATTTATTAYATAGACATAGATGTAAAATTAYGCCTAAAAAATATTAACGTGATTCATGTTATGAATGTTATGATTGATATGTTGTATGTTGACCACGTTACTCATACATTATTATTATTATTATTATTATTATTCAATAAATAACATTTTGGTAATATTTATTTCACATTTTATTGTACACAGATAAATCTTACGATAGTCTTGCGAAAATACTACTGCTAGAAAAATGTCCAAATACAAGTTCGACATTATGATTGAATTATACTTCATATATGGCCTCAACGACCGTTGTCTCGTTAAAACCCGCCAGTGTGACATGTGCAGAGCCCATTTAAACAAAGAGATCATTCTTTTAAAAATATAATACTCGCAATCTCACAATGTCTASCATTGTACTTTATTTTAGTACATTTTTTTTCATTGATTAATTTTTGTTATTTGAACAAAAAACTTTGGTGTTTTAATCAACGTTGAAAWTAATTGAATTTATTAAAATGCATAATGTATATGTATAATAACTATAAACAATTATTTTACATGCTAAATTATCGGAATTCAAATATTTATTTAATTTA